TTAGAAGATATTCGAGAAAAAATGACACCTATACTTCGTCATTTATATGATCAAGAAGAAGGTAATTGGTTTCGTCAACCAGTTACAGAAACTATTGCACCTGGATATTTTGATATAATTAAATATCCAATGGATTTTTCAACAATGTTTAAAAAATTAGATGAAAATCAATATACAACACCATTTCAATTTTGTGAAGATATTTGGCTTGTTTTTAATAATGCATGGACATTTAATAAAAAATCACAAAAAGTTTATAAAGCAGGTCTTAAAGTAAGTTCATCTCTTATAGAAAAAAAAAAACATCTTCAAATCTCATTCTGTTTTTTTTTTCTTCTAGCTTGCTGATATGTTTATGGAATTAGTTGATCCTATTATGAAAGATTGTGGTTATTGTTGTGGACGTCAATATGTATTTTTACCATCAGCTATGTTTTGTTATGGTGTATCTGGTATGTGTTGTACAATACCACGTGATGGTGATTATTTTGTTTATAATAATCCGGATTCATCAAGAAATAATTTATCCGGTGATAAATATACATTTTGTAAGAAATGTTTTGATTCAGTTAAATCTGAATATATATTAGTTGGTGATGATACAGCACAAACATTAATTGAATTACCTAAAATTGAATTTCATCAAGCTAAAAATGATCATCAAGAACAAGAAAGTATGATCGATTGTATTGTTTGTTCAAGACGTTTTCATAATATATGTGTTCTTTATCATGAACATATATGGCCTGAAGGTTATGTTTGTAAAACATGTGTTAATCAATATAATATTAAACGAAAAGAAAATCGTTATTTAGCACATAAATTAACAATGACTGATTTAGCAAATGCTTTAGAAAAACGTGTTAATGAATTTCTTCGAAAAGATTGTGATCCTGATACAGGTCGTGTTACAATACGTGTTTTAGCTGCAAGTGATCGTGTATGTGAAGTTAAACCAAGATTAAAAAAACATTTCGGTTCACAAATACCAGATGGATATCCATATAGAACAAAAGCTATATTTGCATTTCAAGAAATTGATGGTATTGATGTTGTTCTTTTTGGTATGCACGTACAAGAATATGATGGTCGATGTCCAGCACCCAATACAAGGTAAAAATTTCAAAATTTTTCCTCGCAAAAAAAAAAACCTCAATTATAAATACTTCGATCAAATTGGGATGCATGTGTTACCTATCAAGAGAAAAAAAAACATGCACCTAGATTTGTTCCTAGTTGTTGTGGTCATAGCGAAAAATTTCAGTCCTAAATAATGTATGATAGATATTTGTGTGGAGGAACTTCAGGTTATTTTTGGTTCTTGATCTCCCGAGAGGAAGCATTTGGGAATTTAGAATCTATGACAACTTTTATTCTACTCATCGAGATCTATCTATTTTGAAAGTTTCAAAAATTTTCGTCGAATCTTTCTCGACGCGAACTTATCGCTCATTTGGGTTTATATGATACACATTGCCACAAATCAAAAGCGATTTATTTGTTGAAGGATTTTTCTTCCAAGAGAAGCTCGTAGTATCCAAATACCGATGATCATCAGATATTTATTAAAATACCAATCATCATTTTTTTTGAATAACTTTCGATTGTTTATAGCTATCGAAGTCAAGTTTTTACCATTAGATAGAGTAATGTTGGAAATGCCTATCTGTTCGAGAAAGGTCTTCATGGATATCTGTAGGTGTACAACTTTTCGTAACAAATCTAAGCTCAAAATACAGGCTAAAGAAAATCGTAAAGTCAAAGGCAAAAGTTTAAACTCAAATGTAGTTTTGATTTTTTTTTAATAATATTTAGTACGTAATTTTAATGCAAATAGTAGTTTTTAATAGTCAATGGAGTTTCCTATAAAATACACTATATCATAGATGTACTATGATGGGAAGATTTCTAAAAACTCGAACACGATAGTTTTCAGATCCTAAAAAACTTTGTCAGAGGTATTTTTTAACAGCGCTATCTTAAAGAGAACACAAAATTCTGAATAAGATGAGAGATCGCCGTATTTTCTACGATCTTTCCTTAAAAAGTTACAAACAATATAAAAAGCGAAATTTTTCAAAAAAATGCTAAAACTCGACTTTTAATAGATAAATCCTGTTTTCTTCATTTTGTAATATATTCTTGTTTTTTATTTTGTTAGACGTGTCTATATATCTTATCTTGATTCAGTACATTATTTTCGACCA